GCTCTAGGGAGTGGCAGAGCCAGGACTCCAAGTGTCCCCCTCCCACCAAGTCGCCCTTCAGCAGAGCTGCAAACTCAACGGGCTGTCTTCATACCACACAGGCTCTGGCCATTTTAATGAAGGACCATCACTTGATTCTGCAAGATGAACACTGCCACAGGGTATGACAACACCACAGGGTCAGCTTGGGATTACGTAGTGCTTCCAGCTTTCTCACCCACTCCTCTCTACTGACCCCCTCTGTGGACTTGGTACCTCTTGCAAGTTTCTGATGCAAAATGCATGGTGCTGGGATGTCTGCAGTGGGGAGAGGAGGAAAGGAAAATGACTCGGCCCCTCAACACTTCCTTGCCCTGCCATAACTCAATCTTTTAAACACATAATACACACAACGTTAAGTGAGTTCTTCTTCATGCTGCTGAATTCGGGTTTAGGATACTTGAAATTAAGGGTCATAGAATCCACAGTCCATTGTATAGTTAACATACTGACAAAATGTGTCACATAAGCATTTAGTCATTCGAGTATATTAAAAATTGGAGTGTCATTAAAAAGAAATTTAATCCAAGACTGTATTAGAGAAAATGATTCCACCACAGAAGACCCTCAACACGGCCTGTGACTGCACAGCCAGGGTACGATGCGGGAAATCTGACGGAGAACCACTGTGAAATCTCCAACGCACTATAGCCGCCATGCCCAACCTGCAAGAGCTGTGACAGGGTCCGTACTTTTCTTGGATCATGTCTGTCAGCCAAGATGGAAATAAAATGAAAGATCCAAAGTCAAAGCCTTCTTGGATTACCTGACCCTGGAGAGGCCAAATATACCATGGAACAAGGATGGCTTCAAATCCCTCTGAGATGCAACATGACTCATGTTGATTAGTATGTAAAGGGATGTCTCCATACTACCCCCTCTCCTACAGACTGAGCATAATAATAGCCAAGGCAAAGAGCTGCAGTTTTGGGCTACTCAATTAGGATAGTTTGTTTCTCCCCCCTTTTTTCCCTTTCTTTTCTTCTTTAAAATCTTTTTTGTCTGTAAATATGACATACATCCATTTTTTTTTTTATCTTTTAGTTTTATTTTGTAGAGACAGGGTCTCACCATGTTACCCAGGCTGGAGTGCAGTGGCCATCCACAGGCCTGATGATGGTGCACGACAGCCCTGAATTCCTGGGCTCAAGTGATCCTCCTGCCTCAGCCTCCTGAGTAGCTGGGACTACAGGTGCGTGCCACTGTGCCTGGCTCACACACCCATTTCTTTCTCTCTCTTTTTTAAAGACAGAATCTCGCTCCATTGCCTGGGTTACAGTACAGTGGCATCATTGATAGCTCACTGCAACCTCAAACTCCTGGGTTCAAGCGATCCTTCCGCCTCAGCCTCCTGAGAGGCTGGGACTACAGGCATGCGTCCATGATGGATTTTAACAATATTTTTTGTTTTTGATAATTCCTGCATTAATAAACGATGAATGAATCTAAGCCTAAATGAATATTAGTTATTTTATCTTCCAAGGTAAAAATTTCGAAGCCTGAAATTTCTCTCCTGTTTCAACTGGATTTCTATAGCAGCCTCTTAATGGGCATCTGTCTCCGGTCCCATTTGCCCTGCCTAGAGCAACCCATTCTGTACACCACCCTAAGAAAAACATACATTTCACCTATGACTAAAATCCTTCAATGACTTCTTGCTGCCTTCAAGATAAAACCCAAATTTACTAGAATGGTATAAAAAGGTCCCCAGGATCTAGATCTTCATCTACTTCTCCACCTGCATCTTACAGTCCAGTCAAAACCAAAACACTTCCAATGCCTCCACCTGGAAAGCCAAACCCTTCTCCATATCCTGCACATGTCCATGCACCCTCCTTCTATGACAACTTGGCTCCAGTGCCACCAATTCTGAGAAGCTTCGTTGGGACCATCTTTTTCCTTCTCCAAAATAAATGAAATGCTGCTCTCCTCTGCACTTCCTTAGTGTCCTAAGTATTATAGTACTTATGATAGTATGTATTTATTTAGCAGCTCCCTACTAAACTTACAGGCTTTCGGAGGATGTGTTAAATTTATCTCAGGTCCTAGGACAAGGCTTGGGCCAGAGTAGTTAGAAAAAAAAATTGCTGAACTGAATTCTTACAAGTACTTAATGACAATTGGATCAGCTTCTTTTCATGTATTATGTGGCCCTAAATGGCCCCCCAATTCAAGGAGTTTAAAGGGTTACTCTGCCATACTCTGAATTGTCCCAAACTGGTGCCTCGTTAAGTCAGACAATGTGAGGCAACTCTGGCAGAGATTGCTAACTGTCTCCCAGTATCTATCTCAGGATTACAACTCCATGTTCTAGCGGGGTCATGTGGCCATCCAGCCAGAGGATCCCTTGCATGCAGGGGTGGCCATGTCTCTAAGCTGCCAAAGGGATGTGGGCCTGAGTGACAGGTGCAATTTCTGGTTCTCAGCCTTAAAATGGCTTGGCATGCCCACCTCTTCCCAACACAGCAATGGTCACACGGAGCTGGCTTCAACCATATGTTATAGGTGAGGACAGACATCTCCTAGGGGCCGGCATAGGAACAAGACAGGACGAACCTGCCTTGGGTGCCTAGGTGACCTCATGGGGCAAAGCGCACCTGCTTGGAGCATCTACTCTGGACTGTTACATGAGGGGAGCAGAAGGGAGGGAGAAAGGAGAGGAACGAGAGGAGGAGAAAGAAAAACTCATAGCTTAT